TACTAATTTATAACAGTGCGTATCAACTGCACGAAAGAAACTTAAGCCGACTCAGCAGCAGACAATCTGCGGGCACGAGAAGATGAAACTTGTCAAACAAAGATAATTTCGCAGAAGGAGCAGCATATCCACAATAGCTAAAGCAGTCACGAACACGGTAGAACAAACGTTATTAAAATCAACGGGTTGATCGAGTCCTACTCTCTACTGTAAACTTACCTAGACATGTACGTGACTAATGTGGGCAGCAGTAAGTTACTGCCTATATAAATCGGCTCAAACTGTATGTTGCGTCGCCGAGGCAATACACATACCTATAAGTTACCTCGTTATACGCGTATGCATTGGAACTTATACGCAGGACTTCTCAGCTCGTGTTGTATGTACAAGACCTTCTTTTACGAAAAAATTACCAGAACACTTGTATAATATTGTCATATTCGTACAATTTCACCACTGGCGCCCAACCTGGTCGTGTAACGAAGAGGTATCTCTAATTTATTAAAAATACTTCCGTTCGCCCACCACAATCTTGATCTCAAGAAAATGAACCTTCTGCCAGCTGTATAGGTGCGAGAACGCGTAGTCAGACCGATTCTTTTGCGATCGTCCTGATGCCTCTTCAGATCATCATCCAGGGTCAGAGGCCAACCCCGTTTGTATTGTAGGTCATCGCGTAAGTCAGGGTTTCGCGGTTCAGTTTTTAACATCCAATTAATACGACTGCTTCGAAACTGTTCGACGTTCACAGCACATCTAATTGCAAAACTTCCGCGGTAATCAACACCTAGTAGTGGACGTGATATTAAGCCTCGCGACTTAATTAGACGTTGGATTAGATACCTCATCCGGAGGCACTGTAACTGTATCAGTCACTGTGAGATATTGGTATCACCGCTATCAACTATGATTGATGTAATTGACCTTGACTACTAGTACGGCTAGGCTAACCCTATACTTCAAAAAAGGCCATCGAATATATACGCCTCAATCTCATGTGATAAGCTTGCATAGTCGCAATCCCTTCGCACATCTCAAAGAGAGTGCGCTGCCTAATCGAATTGACCAGGAGAAAGACATAATTCGGACAAGATAGAGTTTGTTTATACAAATCAGACTGTGATCGCCATACGATCAACGGGACCAATCTTCCTCTCTAAGCAGTCGGTACAGATTGTACCTCGCAGTCCTTAAACTACGTCTCGTTAACATGTTGCGAGTTGCAGTAAGTTAAGCATTTTAGCTCTACAGCTGATGCTTTTATAAATGGATAAGAATGCATTTTACTCCTAGATAAACTAATTGCCGTCGCCGTTTCGGTACCCGTCATCCAATCGATGTCAAAAAGAGCACCGATGAAGTAGTTGAGCTCATTTTGATAGAATTTCTCTCTACTGTCGAATCCTAATGCCTATACGAATATAAAAGGGCTTCTGCTCTCGTCCAATCGTCATTTCAGGACATCAATTTGCTATTTCTGTAGTGCCAACTATGAATATGTGTAGAAGCGAGATGTATATCCTTGCGGTACTTTGTATTATATGTCATGGCAATGAAAATATCTATTTAGATCGACGCGAACACTGTAAACGCTTATACTTATTTGACTCCGACTGGAGTCATCATTATCATTACAGTTGGTTTTCATCATCGTGACAATCACGTAATCCAAGCCCGTGTGTGTATGTGATAGATTTACTAAACCCACGACACTAGGCGTGAGACGACCAAAATGGATCTATACCTCACTGTCACGGCTTTTGCTACTCTGAGGAGATTCTAAAGCTGCCTAACCCGCAGTCTCCGTACTATTACAATCATAAGCGGACGCTTCCAAGTAAACTAAAACAGCCAACTTGGATCACCTAAAATATTGGGACTCGCAATCACCACAAGAGCAGCAGATGTACAAGCTCGATCTTGTGTAAACTTATGTGCACCTGCAACGATTGATGTTGCAGGCAAACAAGTTGCAGCATAACGCGACAACCTGCCGCTTTGCTTAGATAGTCGATCAGGAGCTGCGCTCATTTGTGTAGCCGCGTTCTTCGCGGCTTTCGTTGCACACTGCATAAAGTAGCTGTACATGCGATGATTTTCCAACAAGGGATGGGCATACCAAAAGATGCTCCCCTTACACATCGTGATCAAACGTTGGTCACTCTTTCACCAATCTGTTGTGAATCAGTCACCACAATAATCGGTTAGAAAAAGGAGGGGATGATGCGACGGAGTGAGACCATATACTGCCAATGACCCCAAAAAAAGGTCAATGAGAACATAATAAATATTAATGAAATTCACTAAGCTTTAATTTATGAAGTATATGTTGAAGAAGTATAAACGTCGAATGTCAGATTGGCGCCCGACCATTCATCAGATGATACCGGCCACTAGTGTAACCACCTTTAGTACCAATAGCTGCTAGACGCGCGCAATGGATGGTAGGCGGGTATGTATGTATGTATGTATGTATGTATGTATGTATGTATGTATGTATGTATGTATGTATGTATGTATGTATGTATGTATGTATGTATGTATGTATGTATGTATGTATGTATGTATGTATGTATGTATGTATGTATGTATGTATGTATGTATGTATGTATGTATGTATGTATGTATGGCATTTAATATTTAATATTATTACGTAGAATCAAAAAGGGTTTCATCGAAATACTCGACTTCATTTATACACTTTTACTTCGTCCTTTTCCTTAACGTATCTGAATTAGCGATAAAGTCTTCCTTTGCACGAACATTGTACAATATGTGGCAACCGCACTGACAAAGTGTCAATAAGGCTGCGTTACACGTAATCTAGATGTGTAATGATTGCGGTTTAGAACAAATTTCGACGACATTGGCCACTCAAAGCGACAGTCTTACATATTATATTTGGTAAGTCATCTTGATACATAAAGTCTTTTGTAAGGCAGTTACGTAGAAACTCGACGTAAACACCACACCGACGCACCACAACGATGAGCTACCGATAGTGACGCCTGCGTGGAAATGGTCCTCTAAAATATCACGTGCAATATAGTGCGAGGACGCAATATTATTACGTCCTGCGTAGTTAAGCTGTACAAATTACTGTATCAAGTGTGAATAATACATAAACAATGGTTGATAGTTCACATCAAGTATATCTGGCTACAAAGCTTGCGCAGACAACAAAATATATTCGTTATTGCGCTCTTCTATCCATTATTGATTGCTTTGTTGGATATTAAGTGGACAACAGTAGCGAATATGTGAGTTGTGCTGTTTGCTGCTACCCAATGTCTGATGCGCGAATGTAAAAAAACTTTTCTTAATGTCACTTTCCATAGTGGAGGAACAGAATATAATTTACTGCATTATTATGCAGCTTTCTTTTTTCCGTAATAAGGTAGGTGACACAGGTTTGCATTGTCTATCATTGCACCATAGCTTGCTCAGCTGCATCGCGCCCTTACTTCAGTTTCTTTGCCTCTACACTAAAGCAATCGACAATCGCAACGAAGGAGTACGTGCTCGTATCGACAAGTACAGACAGCGAATTCAACTGCGGTTCAAATCGTTATTTAGTTTCCAAGCTCATAAAAATTAGTGAAAAGGCTGCATTAAGCAGCCATGATCTTCCTCATCGTCTTAGGGCCATGCTTGATCGCTCGTGCGTAGTCCTACCGGTACAACAGAGAAGAGATCAACTGTACGAACGAGCACATTAGTTCCAGCTTATCATGGTTGCTCTAGCTAACACATTTATTGGTAGTACGTAATAATGTGTGAATGGAGTCGACAAGTAAAAAAATCGATAACATATTGCGTCTTTTCTTCACCTTAACGAACAGCGCGGCAAAGGCCGACGTGTCGACATCTATTTGACTTGTATGATTATTAGATTGACAAATACGTAGCGACTAGATGTGGATTGTTCGCGATGGCTTGGCCTCTGTTACACTTGGAATCAAAGTGTATCGGAGCTACACAGCTCCTTAAGTCAGAGGAAGACTTAATGCTCAACGAGCAACTTAGCTTCAAAGGACCCGACTCAGAGAGTCAACAAGCTCGAGAGCTTACAGTCCCTGTTCCAGGGGGACCCAACTATTCAAAAGAATCACAGCACAGAGTGCTCAGGAGCAGCTACCTTCACAGGTATTGCTAGCTCCTACCGATCAAAGACGCTTCGTAAGGCACGTGTCTTTCAGTGATCAAAAGGGGAACTAAACTTTATTTCTTTTTTTAACCTAAAATCACACCTCATAACAACGTGATTAATTTACTCGCTAACGTCCTAAATAAAACCTCTCAAAAGATCTCGTAGTCAATCGTTGACAGACATCAGGCTTCAACAATTGATACTGTGTTCGAATATCACTTTCAAGGGAGCCCCATCCCTTGTGTGCACCACACCTACTGTCGACTACTAGCCGATGTGTAACCCCGTTACACAAAGTGTTTCACGGCGACACGGTCGTCGCTGTTCGACTTACTGTGGAATAGGATACGTTCTCAATGCAATAGAATGGTAGTCTTAAAGATGTGATGGGAGGTAAAATTACATGCACATCGCCCCAGCTACTATTCTATGACACTCAAAACGAACCTCGTTTTGGCAACGATGGCGATACACTGCGTCGCTATAACTTGCTTTGCATAAACCAGGTTTTGAAAAAGTGCTTAAAACGAGTCTTGTTTTATCAACGATGGCAACACTTTGCGCCTGCCACGACTTGCTTGCATGTACCCACTTTCCAAACAAGCACGATCCAGAAAAACGTGCAAGCACATGTACATGTACATTATTTTAGAGGAGGATCAATGAGTGAAGTCCAAGTATAAATGCAACGGCGGCAAGAGGCTTAATGCATGAATGTATTCGGACAAAGCTTACTGATCTCGGGCAGTCAAGGCGTCTGTGTAACTCCGTGCATCATGGAGGTTGGCTTTCGGTAGAACCCAGGCCTTCTGGGTTTCTCAGCTGGAGTCGAACCCGTTGCACAGCCGCTTTACGCCGGCGTGATTTGTTCGGTTTGGCCAGTCGGGGCCTGGGCACTGCCGTACGCGTCGTTTGTGCCAAAAAGGTAGCTCACGGTATCGGGTGGCAATGCCATGTCGAATCCAGCCACCTGGGCCATGCACGACTTGTCCAGACTGTTGAGGTTACCGTTCCCGGCAACGTACGAGATCAGCAAATTGAACCCACAGGTCGTCTCGCCATCTCCAATCGGAGTCGAAGCGATTACCGAGTGCGACGAGTAGTCGAACACAATGAGCTCCTTGTTGGGAGTATCAAGCGCCTCAAACAGAGACTTCGTGTACTTAGCAGGCGTCAGTGGGTCCAATCCTCCAGCCAGCAGTAGCACGCTGGCTGTGCTAGGGACTGTGGCAAGCTTGTCCCAGTACTGATCATGCGGGTATATGATACCGTTGGCGTTGTAGCTGCCGACTCCAAATTCCTCGCATTGTGCCGACTGCTCTTTCGAGTATGCGCAAAACCAGGATAAGGATTCGTACACGGCTTGGTTCGAGATGCCTGCGGTCGTGAACCGAGTCTGCAGTTCAGCGAGCGAAGGTATAGGCGTCTCCCACATCTCCGAGAAGAAAATGACATTGGTGAGCAGCTTCGAAGCAAGCGCATCGTTCACGTCCGTTCTCGACTCTTCCTCGGTGTTGATCTGGAGGAACTGCGTCAGGGCTGGGACGTCGCTGGGATCGCAGCGATTGAATCGGTACACCAACGGTGCGATCAGGGATCTCAAATTCTGATTGTTCAAGATGCTACCCAATTGGTCTCGAAGACCGGCTGACGGTGACTTCTTCGTGTACTCCGCCACCAGTGCAGCACAGGTCGAGCTGGCGTCGCTGTCGAACTTCGCAAGCAGGTCGTGAAGCGTAGCTGACAAGCTCTTGTCTTTGAACTGAGCGGCACAGTTGCTGTCTTGCGCACACAGGTTCATGAATTGCTCACCCACCTCACCAAACATGGTGTCCCGCGACGAGTGGTAGAACTTCTTGTCCGGTGCAACTGCAGTAGCCATGACGCTGTCCAAAACGTATCCAGTCACAGTCGGCGGGTTCAACTGCATCAGACGCTGGATGACCGCCGTCCCGTAGCTCCTTCCGAACACAAAGGTCGGCGCGCCATTTGTGTATTCGGAGATGAACGTCGCCAGGTCCATCGCACCGCTTGTGGTTGAGAACGAAGCGAGACTCCCATACGTTTCCTGCAGAACCTGCGCACAAGCAGGAACCTCTGACGGTTCGACTTGAAGGCCTGACGGGGACCCAGTCGTCGTGCTTTGGGAGGCCACGCAATCCAGTCGCGTGCTGCGTCCAGTGCCGCGATGTTCCATCAAGTACACGTTGACTGCTCCGCCAAGTTTCGCGGATAGCAAGTCCAACGCAGACTCCACTGTACACAAAAGAAAGGCTCTCAGTTAATCGGACTCGTTAGCAATCATAGCTGCGCATTCACTTACGAGTTTCGGAGGAGACGCCGGGGCCACCTGGAACCAGCAGCAGGTTCGGGGCATTCTTGGCGTCGCCCGCCGTAGCAGCCACCCGCTTCACGAAAATCTCGATGTTCGGGTTTACATTTGCCGGCGCCTCACAGACCCCGGGGTAACACAACGGGGCCGCAAAGACCATACACTCGGCGTTGAAGCTCGGGACATCGCTCTCGCCTGCAGCATCAAACGTGAAGCCTTGGCAAGGGTCCCATTGGGCCAGCGTATGACCCGCAGTGGTGTTCGAAGCGGCCGACGCTCGTCCGATCACTCCAGCCGCAGCGATACTCAGCACGAGACGAAGGTGCATGGTCGTTTGCGCCGGTGTTGGTGATGTCCGAGAAATTGGAGAATGGTTCTCGTCCCCGCACGTCAAACGCACCTGTCGTCCATTTGTACCACAGCATACCTGCTGAGGTTGTCTAGCGCCTAATCGTGACTAATGTCCCACCGTCGGACGACGAACAGGGCCGCGAAGAGCTCATCACTTTAAGCTTCGACAGTCACCATCCTCACGCAAGGGCACGCACAGACGAGCACGCTATCGTAGACACGTCAGCTCTGCAATCTTACATTGGTGCGCATATAGCCACAGAAAGAGGGGGGTTCAGGCAGCGGTCGCGTCACGACCTGACGGTGCGTTGAGATCCAGTGCGAAGAGATGAGCTGCTTGGCCACCACCCGGCAGGTGAACATTTATCCCTGTCGTCAGTCGCTTTCTGCTTACGGATGGATGTACAATAGCCTCTTCATTACCTGGCGTTTGTTTACAAGCAAACCCGTGGGACAACGGATGCATGTACCCTACAAACAAACACATTCAGTTAGCGTTGGTTCGAGTTTTGGATATCCTACAGCAACGTGATGTGGCACTGCTTCCTCGTGGGTGCTTGTGAGACTACACTATTGTCGTCGAACAGTTCATGGCATGGCTGATAGAGAGAGGGTCGAGTTCCACCATCGAGTGAGCAATCGGGGAAATTGTGCTGGATCATCCTCACAAATCAGTAGCCAGTATCGCCGTCGCATCGACAGTTGGTCGTTCGTATTCAAATGGCCGCGTGCTTATGGCTCCGGTCTTTCTCGGCGCGAGGTGCTGGATAGGTGACAATTGCACGAACTATCAATTGTACAACATGACAGGAGGACCCGTGAACGGGCTACAGGTAGGACAGCCTCTCTTACTGCATGCGGAATATATTCTCTGATGTGCTTCAATGAAGCATGTACAGCTCCAAGTGGATGTGATTCGGTTCACAAGAACACGACGACGGAGCTCTTTGGATGGGCTCGCTCGTGTCTCTCGACGTGCACTGCTACACGTCTGTCGCCGAGAGCAAGCCGGTTCGGCAGTTCACAGCCACAAGCTGGCAGATCTTAGAATGACATCCTTGAAGCACCGGCTTGTCGTAAACAAGTCGCGGGAGTTTGAGCGTCCTGTTGACTTCCTGAGACACCTACGTTGGACGACAAAATGCGAAGCACAAAGATGGGGTGTGAGCTGTGTATCTGCTACAGCCGATGTCTTCGCCAGCAGACAGGGCTTTGCTTTCTGACCATCAGCGCGTCTATTTTGCGGCTATTTAGTGTGCACCACCAATAACCTATAACCTTTTTCGATCTCCGTCTCTCAGCTACTCCTCACCCCATACTTCTTAAAACACAAATCCAAGTCTATAGATGGCTTATGCACGCTACTAGCTTCACTTCTATGGTCTCGGATTTGAGCCTGACAGAATTTTCGTGAAGTTATAGGACGCTAAAGCTCGGAGAATTTCATGAATAAGGCTCGCAGCGAGCTACAATCGGCCGCCACGAATTCCTTGCGTAGACTCATTTTTCTTGATTTCTTCGAAATTCTTCACGTGCCATCCTGATTTTTAGCAGACGAAGTAGCGTAAAAGCACCATTCTCGCAGTCTTACAAGTGCAAAAAGGGCTGCTGTAACCCTGAATGGCACTGTTTGCCTCTTTCTTTTTGTCCAAAAACAGGCATAATAATGCCGCTCAGGAGTTTCTGTTTACTTAAAACGACGCATTCACAAATCCATCCAAACCCATCACGTTTTGCCAAAACTATTGCAAAGCAAAATAAGTGGCAGCATCTAAAACGTTCACGTCTGTTAAATTGATTTGGAATGTCTCAATGCGACCAATACTTCTTACGGCGTATTCGGCAGCCTTCCTAGTCATGATCTTGCGATATACAAGTATGTACCCGAATCACTTTCGACAATATTGGCGGAAGGTAGTGAGAGAGAGACGAATGCAAGGTCTTTTGGGACCATGTGGTCAAGGCCTTTTTCGAGCACGGCATTTGATTCTCCACAGAACAATCCGGTATAGGTCAGTTTGCAATGGAACTTAGGGTAGATGATGTAACAGCCGGCCGCAGTGATAGTCTCTTCCAAAAGCCCATTTTGGCCCTTGAAATTACATCGACTTAGCATGACACTCCGGGCGCACCAGCTGCCCATATAACCTGCAAGTACCGTAGATTTTTGTTGGGCGCGGCATGTTGGTAATGGTTGACGGATCAGTACATTGCTTGGTGTTGAAAACGTGCAAAATATGTGCTTATTGTGTGTAGTACGACAGGAGAGTTGTATAAGGCTTTATCGGTTGCGGAAACGGCGCAAAAATGATTTTTTCTTTTTCAAATTTAGACACCAAAAGAAAAGGTACAGGTTATAAGTGATGCGCACCGTATGGGATCACAACTGAGTACTACTGCGAGCACGCAACGACCATCTGCCGCTCGTCGTTTCACCACGTAAGATGTTATCGCTAGCATCTTTATTTTAGTATCCGAGGAAAATACGAATTTGCATCAAATAATTATGGGACTATAGAAGACGCACAAATGATCAAATTTGAGAAATATTAGAGCAAGTAGGAATATAAAAAAACACGCAAAAAGTAAGGCCCAAACCAAGTAAAGAGGACAAACGAATACACGATACGAGCACATGACACGAGCCTGAGATCATTTATATATATATATATGTCCATGTCTATATTGTTCGTTTTCTTTCTGACTTGGTGGATCCGGAACCCTTGCGACTCTTCTATCGACAGTCATTTGCGAGGGAGAAAAAGGGCGCTGACTCTGCAAGCGTACTTTGATACCTTTGTGCATCTTCCGTCTGTATTGTCACGACCCTTCTATATCTACCGTTCATATTCAATTGGTTCGACGTTACATAAATGTACAGCTGTCGCCTTGGCGATGCGTATCGAGTTCAGATAGAAATATACAACGTGGTGTCCAAGTGTCGTTTTTCATAGCTGATAGAGATGGTAACGGAACGACTTGGTGCACCAAAAAGTCAAAATAATAGCACGGTAATCACTGCAATAAATTTATACTGCAGCCGATACCAAGGTCTCGTAGAAAATGCAGGGTGCCGAGCTGAGACTTCAATAATCTTGATTATAAAAAATATTTCATTAAATGGAAAGCTTCATTTTGATAGTTGTCGAGGCTTGATATTTAAAATATTACGGTAGCTTTAGATCTATTTTTTACAACATGGGCAAACAAATAAAGCACTAGCACGATTAAATTCTGTCCCATATTTTTTGTTTATAATAGAATCTGTCTGCCTTGTTCCAAATAAAATACAACTGAACTTGTGGCAATGAGCTTGTACCTTCAGTGAGAATATTTAAATATTTTTCTAGTTTTTATATTGAAAAAGAGTCACTTTGGCCAAAAACTACATTTACTTTTTGTCTTGTTATACCTAAAATTGAACTCGAGCTGCGTAGAATTTTACTTTGCAATTATAAGACCTTGTTAGGCCTCACATCTGACATGTCATTTATAGAGGCATCGAGCAATTGCAAATTGGATTGGTCCGATTATGCTCATTCGCGTTAAATTTTTAGCGGTAATATTTTTACTTGAGATCGAACTAGTGGTGGCCAACATGTATTCTATCATATAATAATTAAAATGCTTTGCACGATTAGTTAGATGAGGCACACTCTTACATTGTTTGCATTATTTCATGGTACTGATGACGGCAATAGTTTGTAAAGCTAGATGTAAGGTGCGTTATACGCCGGATCCTTTGGTCGAGTGGTAGACCCTAAAAATGGGAACGGAAGGTACCTGGGTATATACTTTGGAACTTTGGCTCGATTACAGGGCGCTAAAGATAGGCTAATATATGACGATCAACCATCCAATGGGAAGCGGCGTTACCTACCCGCACCCAAGGGTGTGATGAGCTGGGTGCCAGAGGCCCCCTAGGCCGAAAAGCCTTATTGTGTAATAATAGGCGCGGATTCTCTAAGGATTTCGAACTGCTTTACATTACTCGAAATTGACTCCAGGGTGGTCTGAAGAATTGCGCAGCATTAATCTCTCTGAGTGTACTATACGTACAAAAAATGGGTAAGGTTCATATAAAAATTGCTTAGAACGAATTTAAATAAAAAATTGTATAGTAAGTATAGCCTCCCTGGTAGCGCAAATTTGGTCTACATAAGAGTGTTGTACAACGCAATTCATTTTAAGGACAATTTGATCACAACCTTGCGAGAAGTTAGCAGCAATTATATAATTACTACATGGTTCAATCTCCTATGTCATGGCACTGTAATATTACTACGTTTTACCCTTCAAAGAATATATATACCAAGTATTTCATGGCTAAATAAATCGAAAGATTTTGTAACACAGATAATGTTGATCCTGATACAAATTCTAAAAATATACGAACCGGGCACACCATATTACATCACATTACAACCTTTTTTTATCACCCGTAGATATGGTGACTAAAGACAATTTATAGATAAAAGAATGATCATGCTGTGAAAAGATGAAAACGATAAAACTCGCTGGTCTGAGCCATGGCTTTTATATTCCCATCTCATTAAATGCTTTCATGCGGTGGAGCACCATATGCACTTGCGCCTAAACCATCGCGTCATATTTTACGTATACCTGGAACGATAAAGATTGTATGCTTACTATTGTGTGTATCTGACGATCGGAAGTTCATTTCTGCAGAGACAGATGTCAGCCAAATCCTCTCTCACCTCCTTCGAGTACATTGTGCACTGCGGACCTTCGCTCATATATTTTGGCTAATCGGACGCGACTAATGAATCGAGATTAACAACGATGAGGTCGTTATTTTATGACAAACTCGTTCACCATGCCCTATAAAATGTCGTGCGTTTGATATTGAGGATTACAATTACGCAAGTTTAAAGTCTATTAAGCTAAGTTTTAATGCGATTTGACTTACAAGGGTATGTTCACGAAATATTGGTTTTGTCAAGTTCATAACGCATT